ACGATGCACTCTTGCACAGGGGAGAGACTTCAGTATTCTCATCTGTCTATTAACATAGCACTCACTACACACTCAGTTTATCCTGTAAAAAGAAAACTCTCCGTTTCAGTTGGCTGGAGAGAACCGGGAAGAAAGCACACTAAGACATGTGTACAGGTAGAAACGGTATTAAAAGGAGAAACCGCCTGTGAGGACAGCACTGGTGGGTGCCTCAAGACGGCTGCAGGAAAGCCGGCTGTGCGGGCTGGGACTTGTCTCATTTGCATATTAGAGAACCTGGTGTCTTCAGATTACTGTTCCAGGCCCCTGCGACCACACACTCGGTCAGGCCAGCCTTGTTTGGAACGCTGGAGTCTTACGGATCTCCTCTGTGCGTCTAACCAACAGATTCTCTGCGAACAGACGCTACTTTTCTTCACTTCTACTTAAAAACAATGAATGCTGCATCTCCATTACTTGAACAAAATATGACCAAACATGTGGGCCCTGCTTCAGCAGGTAGCCGGAAGGGCAACGCGCTGCACCGGGTCATCGGAAGCTAAGCAGTAGGGCCATTTCTACAGGGCTGTTGGTGAGAACGCGCAAGTTCCTTCACCACGTGTCCCTCACAGTGCCTGATATGACTGGCTTTCCTGGTTCTCTCTCTCCTATTGCCTCCGCCTCAGTCCTTCAGAAACCCGCTCAAAGATACACATCAGCTTCCCGGGTAGCAGAACCTGAGAATATGGGATGGTCTGAAGGGCCCCCGCCCCCACCCACCAGCTCTGACACAAGCCAGGTATTTTTCTCTTATGGGGCCTTAATCCTGGTGATGAAATCTCATTTTACTTGTAGTCTACTTTATTCTGTGATTGCCTTTACTAATTAGTACTAATTGTCAATTAGTCATAGTCATGAGGGCATTTGAAGCTTTTCTTCCCATTAGCCAGATGGCAACTGGAAGACAATGGCAAAGTCTTTGGGGCCATGTTAATGAGCCAAGGTGTCAAGGACTTAAAGAAGAGAACAGAAAGAGGCCACCTGTCAGCCCTAGCGCGGGGGGCACCGCGAGCAAGGCTCCCCGCCCAGGACCCTCTCAATACGATGTTGTCTGTAAAATGCATAACTTGGCTACCCGAGTTCGAATGAAATCATAACGCTGTGAAAGTACTCCAAAAAATCACGCATGCCTTAAATAGCAGAAACAGACATTAAGAAAAGTACTACAAATTAAACATTAAGATTCATCAGATAACTAGCAACAACAGTGAAAAACCATTGTTTAGGAAACCACAAACCTCTGTTCAAGGATCTGAGACATACAGAGACAGCCACCCCCTCGCACACAGGTGCGTGCTGGAGCGGGCATCCTTGTGGGCCACGTGGGCACGGGTTTCGAGGCTGGGATCCCAGGTCCAAGCACTTGTTATAAAGAAACCATTAAAAATCTCTCCAAAATATGTACTGGAATGTTCCTTGCATTTGCATTGGCAACACTAGAAATTTGGAACGACTGTAAATGTCGCTCATTAAAATTTTAGCTAACAGTGAATTGATTAAATTTTAGTGCACTGCAACAAGATTTATAAAACCTGATATTTAAGATTTATAAACCTCAATATTTAATGAAATGGGAAAATCTGAATTATATCAGATTTTTTTTTAAAAAAAGGAAGATTAAGCACCAGGCTTGTTTTGAAATAAAATGGGAAATAAATGTAAGCACTAAAATACATACAGCGATTTTTCCCTAGATGGAAACAATAGCAAATTTTTCTTTCCTTTTTTGTGATTTTTATTTTCCAAGTGTTTGGGGATGATGCTTTGTCACTTTTATCATTAGAATGAAAGTCATAAAAAGCACAAATTCCCTCCAAAAGAGATTTCATCCTATTACCCTGTAAGTCTACAATTCAGTAATTAGCTCTCTGTGGTATACATCAGGTGCAGAGAAATTACAACGAGGCAACAGCAAGGAAGCTGGCCTGGGAAGAAGGCAGCGCCCTTTCCGGCACACTCGGCTTCCGGAACTCCGGGACATGGGACACGCTTCCCGCTGTTAATAGCTACTGGAAGGCAATGGACTATGGAAATGTAGAAGGCTTTTTAATTGCTCTTTTCTGTGCACGTGGCCTAAAAGTTTGCCTCTGTGACTTCAACCTACAGCTATGTCACCAGCCATGTCACTCTCGACTGACTGCACAGCAATCTGAAGGGGGCAGAGGACCTGGTTATTAAACCCAAGCCTCAAGCCCCAAACAGACAGGCAAAAAGTGGGTTCTTCCATAATGTGCCCGCAGACAGTCTAAGCAAACCCAAAGCCTGGCCTTCCTGCAGGCTAAGTGGGAGAGCTGCCCAGGGTCCCAGAGCCCTGCTCTGCGTGGTGAGTCGCCGACCCTGGGCAAGCTCTGCCCTGCTGCGCCCTGGTGAAGGTCACAGGTCCAGTGCGCACACGTGCAGCACACACAGGTCCACACGCGTGCAGCACACACAGGTCCACACGCGTGCAGCACACACAGGTCCACATGTGTGCAGCACACACAGGTCCACACACGTGCAGCACACACAGGTCCACACACGTGCAGCACACACAGGTCCACACACGTGCAGCACACACAGCTACACGCACATGTGCAGCACACAGGTCCACACACGTGCAGCACACACAGGTCCACATGGAAAGTACACACAGGTCCACATGCGTGCAGCAAACACAGCTACACGCACATGTGCAGCACACACAGGTCCACACACATGCAGCACACACAGGTACACACACGGAAAGCACACACAGGCACACACGTGCAGCACACAGGTACACACGTGCAGCACACACAGGTACGCACACGTGCTACATACGTGCAGCACACCGGTACACAGTACACATGTGCAGCACACACAGGTACACACGTGCAACACACAGGTCCACACGCGAACACACACACATCCACGTGTGCAGGGCATGGGCCACGTCCAGTGAATACCAACTGTGACTCCACCTTCCTCAGCGTCGGCATGGCCTGGCACCTTCTGAGCCACAAGTCTGACCAACCAGACACGTAAGGGGGCTAAAAAAGGAAGCCCCGGCTTCCGGGTCCATCCACATCACCCACAGCCCTGCCCCTCAGCCTTTGGGGTGAAATCACAGGCAAATCATTCACCCACAAGTCAGCTGTAAGTAAGCTTACCTTCTAAGGGTCCCGCGTGACGACCGCCCGCAGCCTCGCTGTTGCGTCAGCCCTAGCCGCCAGAATCACGCCGTCTGATTGGCTGAGGACCTGAAGGACACCGCCGTCCACCAATGGCAGAGCTGGAAGAGGGCACCCTTGGGGTGTGGCAGGAAACACGCAAACGGCGGCGCGGTCCCCTTTCCCGCCTGAGGAGGAGGAGCGAGTTTCGCTGCCCACCACGTCGGGCGCCTCTGGGCGTCCGGGCAGCCCGTTTTCGGGGGTCTCTACTTAATAGTGACAAGGCCAGAGGTCCCTGCATCCTGGGGCCTAAGACTCACCTCAGACACAGGGAGAGACAGCAGACCATTTTTAACTGTTTTGAAAAAGCTCAGACAGTCGCCTTCCGCCCTCGTGGCCTTGGCTTTTGCGAGGGGTGTTGGACCGGCCCCCCTGCAAGGTACTCGGCTTCACACCAAAGAGTGTCCATAAATCTTTTGAAAAATCGGGCAGGCATCCCTGAAGAAACCGTTCTATCCCATCTAGGTAGCGATGAGCTATCACTAGGTGCCTAAACTCGGTAATCCCTGGCACCCGGCAGCGTTCACACAATTGTTAATGAGCATTTTTCAAGCTGCGGTCCTGCGTGAGGCGTGTCCACGCGCACAGGGCAGGGATGGCCGTGCAAGGCTGCCCCCGCTGCCTACCTGCGCCCACCTCCTGCCGCTTGGACCCTCATCTCGGGGGCAAAATAAGCACGCCACGACAATCCGTGTAAATCAGGAACTGCATGTGGGTTTATTTTACATCGGAGAAAACAGTGGATTGAATTGTGTGAACCAAAATGTACTGTACAATATTAATGATAGAACATCAGAATGTATAATTAATAGTGCATTGCTCGCTTGTCTCTTATTTCTTTATTTTTCTCTGATAGTTCCTCTGAGTACATGCATCTGGACAGATGCAGGTGCCAGTAAAATTTCTCTATTTAAATCAAGCTGCAGGAACTAACTTTTTATTCAAAAATCGTGGTTTTACATTATATACACAGAAATTTAATATAAAATGACAATATAAAAAGTTAAAAGAGAAAGCATACAGCCAGAAGGTACAAAGAAAGCTGAAGAGATTAAAATGGTTCGATATGCGACATACAGGAGTTTTAAGCTATGCCGGCAACCGACAAGGACAGCGCTCCAGCGTCTGCCCCGCTGATCTGTGTGTTTGGGTGTTTTTTTTTTTCATTTACCAATGCAGCACACTATAGAAAGGTCAGCTTATACCAAAGCTTACATTTGTAAATAACTATAAACTGCAGTATTTTACAGGAAAAAAAAAAGAAATAGCATTTTTTTACACATTTTTTAAATAATAGCTTGCATACTTTTTCTGCCAAAAGTGGCATTTTTCAGCATCCAGAGGAGGGTTTGGGGAGAGTGGCGAAAGGGTGTGTGTGTGTGTGTGTGGTTCCTGCATGATGAGACAGGTGGAGTGGTGGCCTGGAGCCCGGGGAGTCCTCGGCAGCTCTGGATAGTGGCGACAGGGTGTGTGTGTGTGTGTGTGTGTGTGTGTGGTTCCTGCGTGATGAGACAGGTGGAGTGATGGCTTGGAGCCCAGGGTGTGTGTGTGTGTGTGTGTGTGTGGTTCCTGCGTGATGAGACAGGTGGAGTGGTGGCCTGGAGCCCGGGGAGTCCTCGGCAGCTCTGACTTCCCACTGCTGCATGCCTGCTTCCCTCACCAACCAGTCCTGCATAAAAAGCTCATTTTTAATTATTAAATACGGTTTGTGTCTGACACAGCTTTTGATCTGCTTGAAACGCCTTTAAGCCTTTTTTCTTTTTTTTTTTTCTGAGTGAAAGGCACAGAAATGCGATTACAGTCCTCCAAGAGTTAAATGTGACACTCCCAGTACTATGACCTTTATTGTCATGGCAACTTCGTAATTTTAGGATGTCTCCTTATCATTATTTGCGTCTTTCTTTACTGCTAAATAGCGTCTCTGAGTCGCGTGCCCCACTATTTCCTACAAAAGACAGCTTAACATCAAGAACAGATGTTGGAAATAAAGGTCAGACTGACTCACGGAAAAGGAAAAATAACATGCACAGGTCAGACAAAGAGCGTATAAATATAACTACAAAATGTGTGTAAGAAAACCCAGGGTCCGCAGAGGCAGGTCAGCCAGAGGAGAGACGGGGCGCCGCGGTTCAGGCCAGGGCGCGCGGCCACGGGCGCTCCCGGGCACAGCTGCACGCTATTGCTTCTCGAGCTCGGTCACGTAGATCAGGTGGTCCTCGGGCGACTTGCCGTGGGTCTTGCTAAGGTGCAGTTTGACCGCGTGCTTGCTCGCAAAGGTCCGGTTGCAGAGCTTGCACTGGAATGTGGAGCCCGAGTCCTCCTCGGGGGTCCCCAGCGGGCCCAGAGCCTTGCCGGCGAGGACCTTGGAGATGCCCTGCTGTTCTTGGACCTGACTGAGGGGCAGCTTGGAGAGGTCCTTCAAGCTGAAGCCCAGGTGCGTCTCCAGGTGACTGATGTACGTGGAGGCAGTTCTGAATTGAGAGGCACAATCGTTGCAAAAGAAAACAGGATGGCCTGTGTCCAGGTTCTTGAGGAATTTGGTTCCCCCTGTCCTCCTCAGCTGGTACTTGACATTGGCCAGCCAGTGGCTGATGGTGGTCATGGAGAGGCCGGTGAACTTGGAGATGTGCACTCGCTCCTGCGGGCCCAGGTCCGACATGATGTACTTGCCCTCGGCCGTCTCCCGCAGGCTCGAGGCAAACTGGGCCTGCAGGATGAGCAGGTGCTGTGGGTTCCAGTTGGACTGGCGTCCTTTCCTCTTGTGCACGGGCGACAGCTCGTCCAGCGCCTCCTCGAAGCTGCTGCCGTCGGCATCCGACTTCTCGGACACCGTGGAGGGGGTGGAGGACTTGGGTGTCAGGCGGCCCGTGAGGTTTTTCACCATGTCCGAGATGTCCATGAGGGCGCTCTCCCGGAGTGGCGAGGCCACCGGGTCGGACACACTGGACCCCAGGGCTTTGCTTTTGGATTTGGTCAGGTCGATGGGCTGGTCGCTGTTCTCGTAGTAGTAGCGGTCGATGGCGTCAGCCTGCTTCACGGGGGTGCTGGGGCAGACGGGCTTGTCCAGCATGCTGTTGCTGATCTTGTAGAGCATGGCCAGGGGGTCGAGCGAGGGGCTCACGGGCTTGGACACCTTGCCCAGGTGGGTGTTCATGATGGACTGCAAGGCGCTCAGGGGGTTAATGAAGGAGGGCTCCGGCGAGTGGTCGGTGATGATGCCCAAGTTGCCGCAGCCGTTGGTGACTTTGGCTTTGAGAGGCTCCGTGCCATTGGGGGGGTGTGTGTCCCCAGGACCCTCTTTCCTGGTCCTGCCGGCCTCAGCCTCGGGGCCCTTCTTGGACTGCTTGCCGTTGGCCTCCTCGTTCATTTTCGGGCAGTCTTTGTTCTCCTTCGCCACGGGGGACATGGCCTTGGCGGGGGAGCCTTTCTCCCGCTCGGCCGGCCTCTCCTCCTTCTTGATGCTGACTTTGCCCGTGACCTTCTCCACCAGCTCCTCCATGGCAGATACGTTGCTCTTGTGCGGCGGTGGGGTGAGGCTGCCTGGGGAGTGCAGAAGGGCACCGTGCTCGGCAGAGGTCAGCGACTTCACGCCACTGGCATAGGACGGCTGCACCTGCACGCTCTGCACGGCCGCCTGCAGGGGCTTCACAGCGCCGGGCAGCTGGTAGGCCGCGTGGATGCTGGGATAGCCGCCCCATGAGGGCGCACCATTCTGAGCTTTGCTGATGGCCGTGGAGACGGTGTTTTCCAGGGACTTGAGGATGTCCACGCCGCCCTTGGGGCTGTCCTCCAGGTCCTCCTCACGGAGGTATTGGTAGAGGGCAGTGGGCTCAAACCTCTCGGAGGCATCCCCACTCTCCTCCTTGATGCCCTTCTCCGTGTCACTGGCTGCCGGCGCCTTCTCCTTCTCCGGCTCCTTCTTGTCCTCGGACTCTGTGGAGCCTGCAGGTGAGTCTGGCTGCTTTTTGGTGCCGGCAGCCGGCAGCCGGGTGTGGGTGGTGGGAGGCAGGGGGATGGACTGGACCTTGTCCTCCACCACGGGGTCCAGCACCAGCTGCTTCCCTTTCTTGGAGGCAGACGTGGTCACCTTCAGGAAGTGGCCCGTGACCATCATGTGGGCGGTGAGCTGTTGCAGGGTGTCGTGGGAGCTGCCGCACTCCATGCACTTGAGGATCTGTGCTTTTCGGGCCTCGAACTGCCACGTGTAACTAGCACCATTTTGGTAGCCATAGCGGTTGTTGGGCGTGACGTAGGGGTTGGCTGTCTTCTGGTCCTTGGCCAACTCGCTGAGTGCGGCCTCCGTGGCCGTGCCCGCCGGCTCCGGGGAGCAGGGGGCCGCCAGGTCCTGAAGCGCTCGCTTCTTGGCGGAAGGCAGCAGCTTGGTAATGGCCGGTACAGGCTCCTTCAGAGGCACTTTCTGGTAATGCTTTGTCTTAATCATGTGCACGCTGAGGTCCTGCAGGGACTCGAACGAGTGGCCGCAGTACATGCACTTGAGCACCTTCTGGGCGTCCTCCTTGCCCTCCATCTCCATGAGGGAGCGCTTCCTGGGCTTGGACCAGCGCTTGGCCTTCTCTGAGTCCTTGTCCCTGTTGTCGTCGCGGTAGTGGCCCGTCTCGTTCATGTGCACCGTCAGCTCCACCAGCGTGTCGTAGGCTGCGCTGCAGTCCTTGCAGCGGAACTTGCTGGCACCGGTGAACACAGAGCCGTACAGCTTGTTGTTCTGCCGGTACAGCTGCACGGTGCTGAAGAGGCTGGGCTCGGGCAGCAGCCCGTACGAGGGCGTTTGCTGCAGCGTCTTGGCCAGGGCGGCCTGGTGCCAGTCATACCCAGAGCCGCTGCTGTTACTGGTGCTGTTGCTATGGCTCGTGCTGGTGCTGCCGCTGGTGCTGGGGGTGCCAGCCGTGCCCGCGGCCGTACTGGTGACGGGCGCGGGCGTAGGTGTCGAGCTCTCCTTCCGGCTGACATCGGAGTTGCTGGGGGCTGAACCTGACTTCTTCAGGTCCAGAGCAAGGCTGGACCAGCAGGACTCGGAAAACAAGTTGGCGTACACGGCCTTGATCTGTGCCAAGCTGTCCTGGGGATAGGAAACGCTGTCCGGTCCCGGCGGGTCCTCCTTCTCTTCCCTGGAGGACAGGCCCTGGGCAGGCGGCTCGCTGCTCTCACTGAAGGGTGATGCGCAGCCCGCGTCCTGGTTGGTGGGGGTGCTGGCGGGCGAGTTTGGGTAGCTCTGAGCCTCCTTGACCTCTGCGTCCTCGCTGCACGCAAAGTCGCTCTCAGGGATGTCCAGGGCCGGCCCCTCATGCTCCTGGTGCTCCGCATCTATCTGTGCTGCCTTCAGCTCCTCCTCGGGGACATAAGCTGCAAGAGAGAAGCAAGAGGCGTCAGGACCAAGGCCACAGCCTCCCCAGCTCGCAGGCTCACTCCCTGGCTTCCCAGCCACGGCCCAGGCTACAAGGCCGACCTGACCCTCCCGCATACAACCCCACGGCGGGAGCTGGAACTGAGAAAGACCATTCCTCTCCTGGGTGAGCTCGTTTTCAACAAAGGAGTCCAAGCCAGAGGAGCACTGGTGGCCCTCCACTTGGAGGCTGCTGCTTGCTGTGGGAGCCTGGGAATGCAGGACTCGGGCCACCCCATCCCGCCTGGACCATCCCATCCCACCTGGACTCCTTGCAAAGCAGGCTGGGCTGTCCGATGGGCGGGGACCCCCTGCCTCACTGTGCTGGCCATACTCTTTGGCTTCCATGAATAGCAGCACCTCCCAAAGGCAGACGATCAAAGACTACACTCCTCACTAACGGAAAACAGGGCAGAGGCCGCAGTCTCCTGTCTAACACAGCAGCTCGGCTTCCCAGACGGTGGTTGAAGAGGTGACAAAAGATCAAGTCTCCACAGCAGTGTCCCAACCAAGTCAGCACAGGGCGGGGTGACCCAAACACCCCGGAGTTGGCAAGTCTTGGAACCAAATGTGGTCCCCAGTCTATGGAGTATGATGCAGTTGTGAAAAGGAAAACAACAGAGTCTGTGGCACAGACAGGGCCAGAGGGAAGCAATGCTGTGAGCAGTCCCATTCACACTCCACACAGCTCACCCGTGCGGTGCCTCCGGAAGCAGACAGGGCATGGCCGGGGGAGGCCGGGGGCTGCCTGGGTGATGGAATGGGAAGGTTCTGGAGACGCAGGTGGTGATGACTGCCCAACAAGGAGGACATGATCGGTGTCATCGCCAGGTGCATCTAAGGAGAGCTGGACTGGTGGCTTCTCAGTGATAAATATATCACCATCAAGCGACACCAGAAGCAAACATGGCGTCAGCCTGCTACACCTAGTGAGACACAGAAAGAGGCGTCGTGGCAGACCACGGCCCTTCAGAGGCACCTGCACGATGTGACAGGTGCACAGGCACAGGAGGGCTGGATGTCCATTCAACTCTGGACAAAGCCATGAGGGTCAGGTGAGCCCTTGAACCGGTGGTAGGTCCTGCTTGTTCCCAATGGGACATGATGGCTTTCACTCATCTTTCCTCTTTTGTATGGGAATAACTAGCCAAACCAGCACTGTACTGCCAGCTTGGGCAGTCTGGAGCTGAAACATGCTCCAAAAGGCCCCGTCAGCGTGAGATGCGCCCCCGAAGAGGGGGCCTCGATCACATCCTCAGAGCCAGCTCCCCAGGGAAATGGCCAACTGCTCGTGCAGTTCCAGGGACTGGAGGTGGGACAGAGATCCTGGCACCCAAATGGAGCCCACCAAGGACAGGAGGGTGCAAACAGAGTATTTACATCTGTAGGCAAGGGCCTTGGTCTCCCCAGCAACCCCAGGCACTCACAACCGGTGCGCAGGCTGTGCACACGCAAGGCCTCCGTGAACCAGCCACGCAGGTGCATCTCTGCCTGTGGACTCAAGCAATCTGAGCACACATGTTCCTGTTTCCCAGCAGAGCGCAGAACAGCCAGAATCACACATCGGATAATGCAATGCTGCCAGCACGAGTGACAACCACAGACCCTGGCCTTTCACTGCAAGCCTGAACACCCAGACCACACACCTGCTCCAGGAAGCAGAACGCTCAGCCTGCACACAGACCACGGCTGAGGGCTTCACAGCAAAGGTTTAGGACGGTTCCGCTCTGAGGACCCACACTGCTCAGGCCCAATGCTCCCAGCCAGTGGCCTGGAGCCTGCTGTCACAGCCACAAAGACGGGGTGCCCAGACCCTGACAGAGGCAGCCCACAGCAGGTCCAGACATTACAATAGCCAACTGACTCCCAGGTCTAACCCAGCCTCCTCTGTGAAAGGAAGGCGCAATGCCCCAGCGGCAAGGGGTGGACTCAGCCCAGGGGGAGGCCGGCAACATGTGTCCATCCCTCCTGGGGGCTCCCAGGGCTCACCAAGGAGCTGCGGTGTGAGATGCACCCAGGAATCCCACACTCCACAACCAGGACCAGTGGCCAGGGTATGTGCTAAGCCAACAGCCACCCCACCACGGGAGAGCTTTGGCATGGCCCGCACTGGATGCGTGGTGGTGGGCGTGGCCCTCACTGGATGCGTGGTGGTGGCTGTGGCCCTCACTGGATGCCTGGCAGTGGGCGTGGCCCTCACTGGATGCCTGGCAGTGGGCATGGCCCTCACTGGATGCGTGGTGGTGGGCGTGGCCCTCACTGGATGCCTGGCGGGGGGCATGGCCCTCACTGGATGCGTGGTGGTGGGCGTGGCCCTCACTGGATGTGTGGCAGTGGGCATGGCCCTCACTGGATGTGTGGCAGTGGGTGTGGCCCTCACTGGATGTCTGGCGGCGGGCATGGCCCTCACTGGATGTGTGGCAGTGGGCGTGGCCCTCACTGGATGCCTGGCGGGGGGCATGGCCCTCACTGGATGCGTGGTGGTGGGCGTGGCCCTCACTGGATGCCTGGCGGGGGGCATGGCCCTCACTGGATGCGTGGTGGTGGGCGTGGCCCTCACTGGATGTGTGGCAGTGGGCATGGCCCTCACTGGATGCGTGGCAGTGGCCATGGCCCTCACTGGATGCCTGGCGGCGGGCATGGCCCTACAGTCCACACACGTGCACACCTGGGAGGGAATTCAGGCGAGGCATGAGGCAGAGCCCGAGGTTCAGATGATCCCAGTGCTGAGTACAGAGGAGTCTCCGGTGAGCAAGCTGGCTACAGAAGAACAGCAGCGGGCCTCTGGGCACGGGGACCCTCACACCCTGAGGGTGTGACGTCATCACAGAACTCACGGCAGCGTGCAACATCAAGCATAGCAGTGGTGGGGGTTCTGGAATTTTCCCTTTACCACAGAAAGCAAAGCCAGATGCAGGGGCCGCTATGAAGAAGTGTTAGCAGGGCTGCTGCATCGGGAGCGGAGAGCAAGGGCCTGCCCCCTGGGCACGGAGTCATCAAAAAAAGATCCTTCCTTCTGTCATTAATTTTTTAATATATTTTAAAAAGATTTATTTATTTTTATTGGAAAGGCAGATTTACAGAGCGAAGGAGAGACAGAGGAAATAATCTTCCATCTGCTGGTTCACTCTCCTGGTGGCCGCGACAGCCAGAACTGAGCTGCCCTGAAGCCAGGAGCCTCCCGCCCACCCGTGGCCCCCAACTCCCTCCCCCCGGGAGGCACCATTTGGTTCCCCCTCCCCCATCCCTAGAGGACAGACGCAGATGTCACTTCCTTGTGGCATCTCTCTGCTAATCCCGCAGGGCTGCTGGCCGCTCACCTGATCGGTAGCCCCGCCTCAGCTCTTGGATTTGCCAAGGCCTCCCACCCTCCAAACGAGAATTGTGAGGGAAAGGCAGAGTCTCCAAGATGGTGAGCAACCTCCCCACGTTATCCAACTCCCAGTCCATGGTCTGTCCCTCTGTCTCGCCGGCATCCGCATCCGGAAAGATGTATTTACACCCCACACCCCTCGGAATCAAAGCCCTGCTCCGCCTGCCAGGAGCCAGACCACGAGTTATAAAGCAGAGCACGGCAAAGAGAGAGGCACACACCACACCCAAGGTGGTGACAGGAGCCACCGCTCACCCTGCCACAACTGGCAGTGTCCAAGCCTGCTTCAGCATCACGCGGCTGACACCATGACCTCTGCATTTCTCAGTTCTGATTTTAAAGAGGAATTCACAGGTAACTGCTTCGAAACAATCTCTGCTTTCTTCCCCAGTGCCTCCGGATTCAATTTCAAGCTAAGTGAGAAACAGGAATTTCACGGCCTCTCCCACTGTGTCAGGTGCAGCCTTTGGTTCAGTCACAATGACGTAACTGAGCCAGCAGGACAGTGCAGATCGGAGCAGAAGACACGACAGAAGACACTTGCTTGGAGTTTTCAAGGATGTCAAGAAGGGGAGCAAAAAATCCCCAAGGATCTAACGGAAACAGCCGCTACAATGACGCTAAAGAATTAACAGTGAGTAACTGTGTGTCCCTGACCTGCCCCAGGCCAGGCCCCTGACAGCAGGTGTCCTCCACCACCTCCCAAGGCAGCCCGCAGTGGCAGGACCAGTCCGAGCAGGTCAGGCCCTGCCGGAAACCATAACAGAGATCAATCAGAAGGGGGAGGCACATCTGCTGGAAAACATCAGAAAGGCAGAGAGGAGACCCCTACGTGAACGCTCACTGGGAACGGGCCCCAGGCCCCTGTGGTCACATGCGTGGCTGTCATGAGGAAGCTGGCCTCGGAACCTTCCCTGGACTGGAGCCCTGCAATGTTCCCACACAGTTTACGGTCGGTCTTGGAGCACGAGTGTCAGAGGCCAAGGGCAAAGAGATCTGTCCCAAGCTCCAAACCCGCAAGGTCTGGGAAGTCACGGACTGTCTTCAACACACCTGTTAAGGAGCAGAAGTCGGGCTGCCCGTGGGTGAAGGACAACATGCCCGTGTGTGGCACAGCTTTCGGCGGCTTTTACCT